GGTTCCGATGATTACGTGGTGTTCTAGAATCATCTTCTTTCCCCTCCCACCCCACCACCCCGATGTGTCGATAGGAGGATATGAATGATATCGTTTTGGAAAGGGATAAACGATTTGGCAGCTCACCGTCAAATAAAATAAATACGAATGGTTTTCCGCGCAACCAATATTTTTTAATTTCAATAGCCTCACGTATCATCCTTGGTAGGAATCGGTGTTCTTTCGCGAGGATTTGTGCTCTATCAAATCTGATGTAATGTTTGGGGCCGTCTAGGATATGATCGCAAACTGCAGACTTCCCGGTACGTTGATGCTTCACATCAGCTATATGTTCTTTTACACGGGTTCTAATTGATCTTTTTTGTTTGTACTATATAAGAGAGATTCACAATCAAGCTTGTACACTCCTGCATCTTGTAGAGGAATATGACACTTGACTGATGGTAGGAACTGACTAATCTTCCTCGGCGGCTTGTAGAATGTTCTAATAGAAGCTCGCTTCAAGATGTAGCCAACCTTGTCTGTGACACCTCTGACATATGGTAGTACAGCAGGCACATGCTCGACTGTAGCCAGCTTCACTCGGTCACTGTGACGTAGGCGCGGGACCCGAAGCTTGTTGTCGTGCAGAACTTGCTTGACGTGCTGAAGCTCGGCGGCCAGGTGTTTGCTGTCACAGATCCCTCGTGCTCTCTGTAACAAAGATCTGCTCACGGTAGCTAACTGTGAATGATGGTGGTGAGATTCACCGTTTAAATATCGGTTTGTATGTGTCTTTTTTCTATACACAGTGTGACCAATGGTGTTGTTAGGATTTCGGATGACTAACACATCTGCATATTATAATCAATAAAATTAAAACTTAACCCAAGCATACCACTGCAAGACCTCAGGACATAGTCAGTTCATTTTGCATAGATCGGACCATAAACAATAATTAAAAAAGCTGAAGGTACTCCGGGTTTAACAATGACATCGGGACGTCAGTCATCTCAGTCCCCCGTGACCATGGGTGCTGGAAATGCCCGAAACGTCGGGAATTTAAAAAAAAAATAGTAAAATAGACGCGATAAAATCCGTAAAAATAGTTTTAATTAATGTGTAGTGTTCGCGTAAATATAAGAAATCATCATTAATACAGTACCATTTACCTTCTTATATTGTAGCAGTTTTTCATTGCCTAAAAACACGGACAAAACGACATTTTCCAAAAATGTATTCTAGCTAGATCGATTTATTGCCTGATTATTATTAAATTTTAATTAATATATTTATATAAATTTGATTCCGATTATATATATATATATATATATATATATATATATATATATATATATATATATATATACATAACTGTTATGTCGGTGCAGTCAGTCAGCATCTTGTCAAGAGCATCGCGTATGTATGAGCGTCGTGCCTCAGAAAAGTTGAGAGTGCAAATTACGTATATATTTAATTCCATTATATCTGGGATAACAGTAGGATAATATATTTTATATATTTATAAATATATATGTATCCCAACCAGATCAGAAAACAATATAAATAGTCCCTAAACACCCTTTATTAATAATAATACGCTCATTTATGTGTTATAGTTCCGTCGTGAAGATATTTTTTGTATGCTTCCTAAATATTTACCAATTAAATGATTTTTTTGTAGTATAGCATGACAAACGAGCACACAGTCCACTTGATGATAAATGGATACTGTGGCCCATAGACTTCTACATTTATCCTTAATTAAGAATAAAAATACAGATGCGTTGTCATCACTGAGGACTAAGATGGAATGCCTCGTTTCCATTAAAAGGGGCTTCGGATCTCTAAACTCACCGTACGAAACACAGCAGTATTAGCTGCTATATTACCTAGTATTCTGTGAGAGAGTAGTTCTCGTTTACCGTAGTTTCACCGGTATAGCCGACTCATTCATGATACAACCATAATATAGCTGCAGCCTGGCTCTACCACTAATAAAATGTTGCAGTGTTGATGATGCAGATGACTCAGGGCTGTATTTCGAAGCATTTATTGAGAAGATCTATGTTCAGCAGTAGATAAGTAAGAAGCTGTTATGATAATGACAAAATTATGCAATTTTATAAGGAATTAATAAGAAAAAAGAACATTTTCAATAAATATTCGCCGCTTATAACACACTAAAAACGACGACGTATATATTTATCCATCCAAGTCAATCTAATTTGCGGCGACAGCGAGACGAAGCTTCTGCAGCTTTATTTATTCTACCAGAAGCAATTTAGGAACAGAATTTTCATCACGGAATTTTAAATTTTGATACTTATATCACAAACCTACTTTGATATATGTGTATGTTAAGGCCCTGAGTTACCCTGACAAAAGTCGATTGAACTAGGGCCCATCAGTAGTCAAACTCGACTAGTAACAGAGGGGAGGGTCCAATGACCTATGGATAATTAAATTGTAACGGTTAGATACGCAAACACAAAACTTATCGAATTCCAGAAGTGTAGGTTCTACCACAATTTGGCGTCAGGGACAAGTAAATGGTAGTGGATGTGTAGTGTAGGAAAGTGTATAGTGTAACCTGACGTCACCAATACAATCAGATAGCAGCACCACGTGCGCCGATCGCTCCACAAGACGCTCACCGCTATCGGAACCCAAGTCCAGCGTCACTTAGCACAAACTATAATCGCGCGCGAGGCCTCTTGTCACGTAACACGTTCAAAACACGGACCCCACTTTTCAATAGTAAATTCAAAATGGCGGGCACAATTAACTCAGATTTTAGGCCTTCAATCAAAACACCGGCCGCCCGCAACTTTATACCAGTCACAAACAATACTTAAAACGGTTACAACAATAATTATATTATTCCGGCCTCGTTTACAACAAATTAAGACAACACTGTAAGAGGCTCGCGAAGTATAATCGACCCGGGCGTCGCTCAAATAAACTCAAGAATAAGCCTTGTTGTCACGAATATTAACGATAAAATACCACACCGTGGAGGCCTCCGTATTCGAAGCCGTAATCGTTATCAAAAAAACTCGCGACCTCTATTCGACACGGCTCGCTCACCAAGATAGCTCGAGACCCATAGGCGCGGCAGCTGGCCGCACAAGTCAGTCCCCCCGACCCTGCCGTCAAACTGGTTTCCCGCTCAAGACGCGAGCCCTGTAATTTGTAACTACAATCGATCGTAAACAGTGTAAGTTTTTTTTTATATTTTTAATCATTTATTGTTTGCATATTGAAGTAAAAGTTTTTAACAACATCATAATCATCATAACATCCTATAATAATTAGTTCTTTGCATATAAGCTCTCATTAAAATACAGTCATACGGCACGATATCAAAATCCTTGTTGCCTCATAAAACCTTAAGTCATTCTACCTGCTTTGTTTATCTTATTAGCAAGTTTGCAAAGTTATAAAAATGAATTATTTGTTATCATCATCAATACAACCATTCACGAGTCTACTGTTGGATATAGGTTTCCCCAAAGGAATACCATAAAACACGGTCCTAAGCCTGTATGTTAACTTCCTGTATGTTTTATCAGGTCATCATTCCATCTAGTGAAAGGCTGAAGGCTGTCCTACACTTTACCTAACGGTACAAGGCTGCCACTGAAAAACCTTCCTTCCCCATCGGCTGCCAGTTCTTCAAGTAAGATATCATAAGCACATCATCTTAATAATCCGTTGTGCTATGTCGATTACTCTGGGTCTAATGCGGATATCCTCATTTTTTAAGTTTATTACATGTGGCATAGCCTTCTCCATGGCATGTTGAGCGACCTTGAGCTTCCTCATATGGCTAGCAGTTTGGGACCACGTCTCAGGTACAGCAGTTATCACTGGCGTTTTTATGTTTTGAGGTATTAACTGCCGCGTTGAATCTCTCAATTAATCTCTCGGTCGTAATTAAACTGATACAGTTGGACTATTTGTCCCAAACGTATTTGTAAACATACTCGTCAACAACTTTGAGCTTAGTGCTCCCAACAACTACTGGCATAGATGTGACATGGACGTTACACATCTCCTTTGTTTTGTATTTGTCCATCTTAAGACTTATTCGTTGGGTGACATTATTGGGGTCATTGAGAACATAATGCTTCGGTTACTAAAAGATTCTGCCATAAGGACTATATCGTCGGCAAATCCAAGGAGAGTGATATAGTCGCCATAGATATTGATACCGTATATTTTCCAGCCTAGTACCTAACAAACTTCTTCCTAAGGACCGCAGCGGTGAAGAGTTTCGGAGATATGATGTCACCGTATCCCGTAATGAATTGCGGCAGCACGTAGACGCAGTTCAGAAGGAAAACCAGTCCGTAGTTTTTCAACAGAGGGTGGTTGGCTTTCATGAAAAACAAGCCCATCGCACTTCTGATCTATAAATAAATAGCTATGTAAGAAATTTCACTGGAAGTTATTTTTGTCTAAACACTCGGTAATCCTATAAACACCGCTATCTTAGAAGTTATATATATATCTCATTTTTATTCCCTGAAACTTTCGAACCATGTTAAGGAATTAGTAGTTTTTTTAGCTTATGTGTATTCTTTATGTTCTTTCTTTATCCTGCTTTGTTCATGTCATAATTACCTTCTTAGTAAATATGTAATACATTACACAGTATTGCTGAAGAGTTTAGATCTCCCAAGACATTATAAGTACATAACTCAGAAATTTATGCTTGATAGCACAATTGCTCTCAGGGGTATGGACATGGTTGCACAACCGTCAATTCAGGTACATTATATCACATAGTTGCTCTCTGCGATATAGATTTGATCAGTATATACAGTTAACACAGATTTTTATATGGACTTGATCACGTAGCCGTACTTATAATTAACACAGATTTTTTTAAATGTGAACTTCCTTATAGTTTACACAGATTTTCTTTAAATATGGATTTCATCAAAGTATTTTTCTAAAAACTTGGTGTGAAGAGACGAGAGGAGTGTATATTTGTCTGTGTCTATATTAGTAAGATGAAAATAAGTGCGTTGGATGAATTTATTCATTTCAATACTCTATTCCCTACGAGTTGTTGCAGTGTTAGTGGTAGGTACGGTTTCATCGACAAATTTGGTCCTGTAGAACATCTGCTGACTGTTATACTAATTGATGATGAAGATGTCGTCGGAGTAACGTGGAATGATTGTGATAATGATGATGGAATTGATGCAAAAATAGATGATGGAACTGATGACGTGTAATGTGAAGTTTCGTCATCTGTTTGAGGAAAACTACCCTGAGTATATTTTTTGTTTTAGATCTAGTAATCATATTATTCCCACGAGAAGCTAGGGACTTACAGAGTCGACTGCAGCAGAGACCTGCGTTCACTGCGGCAAGGTTAAATAAATCTGGAGGTCCCCTGTTTTTCAGAATTGGCATACTATCGATTAGCACTCTCCCATAGCCATGCAGCCTTCGGTATATGCTACCTTGGCTTGGATTGTATCTCTTTTAGTCCGGCCCCATGTCGAAATCTGTCTCGGCATCAGTTATCTTTACCGGCATAAACCTAGAATTCATTGACACCGGCATAAACGTAGAGATACAACAGTGGGGTTATTTTTATTTAGGGGTATTAACCCGTTACGCTATAATATACTCTCATTCGATATTTAATGGTACCAGAGTATTCTCATCTGGTTGAGCTGAATAAATATGTAAAAGGAAATGATAATTATACATAAATATATATTTCATATACTAACAAAATAAATAAATAATACATAAATAAATAAAAGCCCAACCAGATAGAGGCCCTCGGCAGGGGAGACCAAACGGCCGAGGGTTAGGGGGAAAGGGAGACACTGGCGGACGATGTGGGCGGTGTCGAGGCGCAACGCCTTCTGCATGTGAGCCTGGAGCAGTCCGTCACGGAGTCCCAGCCACTTCAGATGACCCGAAAAGCTGACTGGTATTAGCCTGTTTTTAGAAACGACTATAGGAATAATTTCAGTCGGCAAACCACCCCACATGTCGGTCGCCTCGTGAGCCAGTTCCAGATATTTTTTTTCTTATCTGATTCGGCTTTCACTAGTTTCTCGTCATATGGAATGGTAATGTCGACCAAAAATATATTTGACTGTGCCCGGTTCATCAGCATAATATCAGGCTTATTCGCAAGAATAGTTCTGTCTGCGATGATGGCCCGGTTTTCTAACAAAGCTTCGGGCAAGTACTTGTAATACGGTAATTTCCAGTCCACAAGACGGGAATATTTAAAAAAAAAATAACAGCTGACAATTATGAATGTTACAATTAACAACACATAACAAATTAGAAATCCTTGGTATTGATCTCCCCTCTCAAAGGTTATTATCATCCATAAATTCCTAAATTATAATAACGCTTTTTATACAAACTTAGTTTAACAAAGTCTTCGAACTTTGTGCTGGTCAAATTTTGTATATTTTCTGGTATGTTGTAGTAAAAGCAAATACATTGCCCCAAATATAAAATACTGACTTGGTAGAGTCGAGTAACTTGTACTACTAGCCTGTCTCTGTACCTATAATTTACAGAATGAATATCACTTATTTTTGTAAAACCACTTTTATTTTTCTAAAACCACTTTTATCTTTGTGTTTGTTCGTTAGATTTTCATAAATGTATTGAGAGGCTAAATTCAATATATTAAACTCTTTAAATTTTTGTCTGATCGGCTCTTTAGGTTTTAAATAATATATCTCTTCTGTAAAACAAACATAATTTCAGGGTAAATTGCGTGTCTCCACAGAAAAATACTGTTGCGCGGCTAAGTTGACATCTGGCACTAGCGCCATCGAGTGTCGGGTAACAGAGCTAAGAGAGAGCTTTCCAGAAAATGACATCACTAATCTTTCAACCGACAGCGCCATCTAGTATCGAATTGAATAACTAAGCTTTCTGGAAGCCCCAAACTCGAACTTTCTGCGCTTGGTCGGTTGGCGCGCGTATTTACTCGAATATTCTGGAATATTCTGGATGTTTTCGTGGAAGAACCCTATATAAAGCGCTGCAATACGCGATCGGAGAAGTATTCAATTCGGCGAGACAAGCGAAGCTTCGGAGCGATATAAAGTGAATCAGTGTGGTTAATTACTAGTGTTTTAAGTTTTAATTTGCGTAAAGAAAATTAAAGTGTTAATTTAGGTAATTTAATCGGCAATTTTTATTGTCACGAACCTCAAGCTCGTAACAATTGGTGTCAGAAGTGGGATAAAATCATGTCGATTTTACCTAAGGAGGAAACGGAGGGTGTCCGTACCCGCAGTCAACGCCAGCAGGAGACGGACCAAAGAAGATTTGGTGGTGCAACGCCGCAGACGTCGGAGGGCCAGCCACCGGCAGCAGGCCCGTCAGTAGCTCCTACATCTGCGGCACCTGACTTAGGTGCCCTGATGGTGATGCTGCAGGAGCAGGCTCGCCGACAGGAGGAACAGGCTCGCCGACAGGAGGAACAGGCCCGCAAGCAGGCGGAACAGGCACGCCGATTGGAAGAGCAGCTGCGGGGCGGACAGGAGGAACAGGGCCACCGACAAGAGGAACAGGCCCGTCGGTTGGAAGAGCAGATGCTCCTCATGAAGGATCTTCACGCTACCTTCGGGCAGGAGATCAGCGAGGGGAAGGATAGGGTTGCTCAGCAGGACAACCGCCTGTCGGAAGCTGAAACCCAAATCAAGGAAGCTAAAACCCAAATCGACCAAGTGAACAATCGGGTTGATTACGTGGTGGCTTACGTGAAGAAAACGCTGGACGACCTCAAACTGGGTGATGGAACTACAGCTCCCGTAGTAGCTACTACACCTTCGCTACGTGGGTTCAAAGTGCCACCGTTCGACGGGACTTCGTTCTGGTCAGCCTACAAAATCCAGTTCGAAGCTGTTATGAAGGCGAACGGCTGGAATAAATGTCAGGCCATGACTGCTCTCACACTAGGCCTGCGCGACCAGGCCTTAACAGTTCTGGAAGCTCTCGAGGAAGAAGTGATTTATGAGCAACTCCTTGAGGCATTGGAGGCGAGATATGGCGACGCTCACCTGGAACACGTCTTTCGTACGCAGCGCATCAACGAAAACCTGCAGCAGTGGGCTCTAGAGGTGGAGAAGCTGGTGCGAAAAGCATACCGGTCTGTACCTGCGCTCATTGAAGGGAACCTAGTGCAGACATTCATCGACGGCATCCGCGACTTGGAAGTCGGAGCTGCTGTGAGGCTCGGGCACCACGAGACGCTTACGGACGCCTTTGCCCATGCACTGGAGGTAGAAGCCCTGCGGCAGGATCATCGTTTCCATCGCATCAGGGAGGTTGCAGCAGCTACAGTTCGCGACTGCAACAAAGGATACAGCCCTAGGTGCTATGGCTGTGGGGAAAGGGGCCATCTTTGATCCAGATGCCCTAAGCGAACTGTAGAAAAGGAAGCTGATCGATCTCGAGAGGGTAGTGCAGCTAACGGCACCGCCTGGCGGTGGCAGGATCGTCGTTCCCCTCGCGCTAGGGGAGGTTGCAGCAGTTACGGTTCGCGACCACAAAAAGGATACAGCCCTAGGTGCTATGGCTGTGGGGAAAGGGGTCCATCTTCGATCCAGCTGCCCTAAGCGAACCCTAGAAAGGGAAGGTGAACGATCTCAGAAGGGAAATGCGGCTAACATCACCGCCCAGCAGCAGTAGGGAAATGAGTAAAAGCCAGAACTGCGGGGCGGGTGCTGGCTGATGTTAAAAGAGACCCAAGGATCTCGATCTCACAAACCCATGATGGGAACAGTCTAATCATCAAGGGCGAGGTTAACGGAATGCCGTGTAAACTGACCATAGACACTGGAGCCTCTCGTACGGTTGTTAGTTCCCAACTTATAAGTCAGTTCCTTGGGGACTCCGCATACAACCGAGAACGCATTAATTTGGTAACAGCCACCGGTCAGCGTATACCCGTCCGTGGAGAGAAGGAGATGTAGTTAAAGCTAGGCAACGTGATCTACCTGCATAATGTCATCGTGGCTGATATAATGGACGACTGCATCTTGGGCCTCGACTTTATGAGGAATAATTGTTGTGAGATCGACGTTAAGCAAGGTGTGTTGAAATGTGGACAGGACGAACTTTTTATGGAAGGTGCGTTACCAGGGAACATGTACAGCATTAAGAAGATTGTTCTTCCGCCGAGATCGGAAACGATTGTTCCGATTAGTCTTCCTCGAAACGCTGGACAAGCTCACCGCTGTGTACTTGTGGAAAGGGTAAACAATGACCTCCCATGGAAAGTAGCTCGAACCTTGGTCAGAACCACTGACATCTCAGGAGTACGTGTGCTGAATCTTTGTGACCGGGAACAGATTATAGAAAAAGGCACGCAGGTTGGTACTTCTGAGGAAGTGGATTGGTTACGTCGGTGTCAATATCTATCGAGTGAGACCCCCAGCAAGGATGCACAAACGAGAGTGACCACACTTTTGGAAGACTGTCGCAGCGTTCTCTCCCCGACCGAAATGGTCAAGGCGAAGAAGTTGTTACTCAAGTATGCCGATGTATTCTCATTAAACGATGCTGATATAGGAAAGACTGGCTTAGTTCAACACAAAATAAACACAGGAGAAGAATTGCCTATCCGTCAGCGACCAAGAAGATTGCCGGTAGCACGTGCAAAGGAAGTGGAAACCACGATTGAAGGAATGGTGAAGGATGGTGTTATTGAACCTTTCTCTAGTCCATGGTGTTCACCAGTGGTGCTGGTAAAGAAGAAGGATGGCAGCATGCGGTTTTGTGTAGACTACCGCCGTCAAAACGACGTTACGAAGAAGGACAGCTATCCCTTGCCAAGAATTGATGATACGCTGGACATGCTTACAGGAATAAAGTGGTTTAGCACGTTGGATCTAAAAAGTGGCTACTGGTAAGTTGAAATTGACCCAAAGGACAAGTAGAAAACTGCGTTCTCGACGGGAAAGGGTCTGTGGCAATTTAAAGTAATGCCGTAAATTAATGCCGTTTGGGTTGTGCAATGCTCCAGCAACGTTTGAAAGGCTGATGGAACTTGTACTTACTCGGGCTAATTGGCGATGCCTGTCTGGTCTACTTGGATGACATCATCATCGTAGGTCGTACGTTTGAGGAACACCTTCAAAACCTGGAACGCGTGCTCATGAAGATTCAGAGTGCCAACCTCAAGTTGAGTCCGAAGAAATGTTCACTATTCAAACGTCAAGTTAACTTTTTGGGGTATGTA